TAGCAGGTTACTGCCAAGGTCGAGCAGTCTTGTTTTCTCGCAGTACCTTTAGGATGTATTTTCAAATTAAGTATGTCCGGGAACGTTGCCCCAACCACGACAGAAGTATTTGAATACCTGTATTCAGACATTTAAAAATCTCTAGCTCTAGAAATTGAATTTGAGGCAAAAACGAAAAAAATGCTTCTTCCCAGTCCTCGTGCGTAGAATGGCAGAATGAAAGGATGACCATGGTTGCCAGTGGTGAGGCTTTATCAAAATCACTAAATTTCATGAAAATATTCACTATTTTTGTTTACAAATCACTAGATTCATTTAAAAAAGCCCCCCCCCCCCCACGAAAACTCACCAGTTTTGTTAAACAAAAAATTTCCAAGGCCCAGGTCGTGACTTTTTTCTGATTTTTTTGGTTTTTATTTTTGTTTTTTTTTACAAATTAATTAATTCCAAGAATATAGGCCCTGACACCTGTCAATCACAATTCCATAATTGCCCACTTGAAGGCAATTTGGCATGAAGCTAGGCTTACAATAGCTAATTTGCCAGATTTTATCTTTCATCTTTCCTCGGGGTATTATAACTTATTAGGCCATAGAATATGTGCATTTTGAACACAGCCTATTGCGGACATTTAAAAAAAAGAAAAAGATAAGTGAAAAACTGAAGAAAAAAAATTAATTAAAATAAGAAAACCAAAAAACCACTAGATTTAGTTTTTTTTTCAAAAACATTCACTAGATCACTAGATTTTGAAAAAATCACTAGATCTAGTGAAAAATCCCTAGCGCTGGTAACCCTGAGGATGACGCCTAAATCTCGCAAATAACCCAAAAAATCTCGAGATCGGAAACCGTTCGGAGAAATAGTCACTTCGTAACAATCATCATCATCATCATCATCATCATCATCATCATCATCATCATCATCATCATAATAATAATAATAATAATACATGTAATAATAACGGGGGGCTCTCGTGGCCTAGAGGTTAAGGTGTTCACCTCTCATTCAGAGGTCCCGTGTTCGAATCCGGGTAGCGACGAATAAATTTTCTTCACTAAAAATTGTCTCCTTTCACCTCTTTTCCTGCTCTCTAGCAATCTTCTGTTGTCTGCTTTCTTCTCCAATTTCTGTCCCCACCCCTTCACCTCCTTTGCCCCCTCCTCCGGGTTTCTGACTCTTTCCGCAGCCTTTCTACTGTTACTCCTTGGCTTCTTCTTACTGCTGTCTTATGGCCTCACCTTTGACCTTCTGGTAGGAAAGATCTACACCTAGCTTTCTCGGACAACGGCGAAAAATCTCGGAGGTCCCGTGTGCAAGTTGCGCACGTTAAAGATCCCTTGGTGGTCAAAAATTGATAACAGTAGGCTTCGGCCGCCACCCATCCAAAATTCAAAAATTCCTACAAGCTGAAAATGTTTAATGTGTCCCGCGCGCTCATATGATCTCATGCACTTGTGAGAGCCGTTACCCCCCCCCCCCCCCCCCTTTCCAAAAAATTTAATTAATTAATAATAATAACAATTATTATTATTATTATTATTATTATTATTATTATTATTATTATTATTATTATTATTATTATTATTATTATTATTATCATCATCATTGTTATTATTATTATTATTATTATTATTATTATTATTATTATTATTATTATTATTTTCATCCGTCATTTACTGACCACGGCCATTGTATCTGTAGAGGATACCATTTCTTACGTGCAAAAAAAAAAAGAAAATTTAAATGTTAAAATGACCGGTGGCTTTTGTTATGACAGACAAAAGTTTGCTACATTTTGAGCATTTAAAAGTGCAGGGCACCAAATGCTACAAACCTTCGAATAAAAACAAATTCAACCTTGAGGAAATCAAGTCTCTTACATATAATCAAAGCGTTCGAGAAATATCAAGTTTTTAAAATTTCAAACAAAATTGGATAGAACGAAAAATTTTACTTCTTAAAAGTGTTCATCTACAGGAGCGTGATACGCACGTTCTGGTTTCAGGACAAGGGAAGGGGGGGGGGGGGGGGGGGGGAAAACCCCCACCGGCCCCCCCATTCTTTGGGATTTTTTTTTTTATGGACAGAGTCTACTTTTTATTTTTTTTGGAAACAACCCACAAATAATCGAACCGTTAAAACTCAATGTTAAACATGACGTCCAAAGAATCGACCCCTTTAAACACGCCACGGGCCATTCAAAATTCCCAGTGGCTTTCTGAAGCTTGTAACGAGAGCAATGGTCAACACCTGGAGATTTAAAAATAGCCATCTCCTCTTTTGAAAAATTAAACTATGAATTTTTTTCTTTAGTGCACAAATAGTGGCTATTTGAAATGAAGCAATATGGTTGATTCTGAAGAAGTTGCAAAGTTTTGCGTTTCACTCAATTTTGGTCGAAAGTTTTTTAACTTGATATTTTTCTATCAATTTTCTTTATAATATAGACTTGGTGTTCTCATGCTTGAATTTTGCTTGTTCAGAGTTTTGTTGAAACTGGTTCGAAGACGACCCTTTCTATTGGCCTTTGTTAAAAGACACCCGGTTTATTTTCCACTTCGCGTCGCTGTCGCAAGCAATTTCCACTTAAATCCAAATTTTGTGAACTTTCAATGTTTACTCTGTCCGAAAGTGTCTATCAATAAAGCATCTTTTAAAACCGCCAAAATGCAGTCTAATACAATGTTCAGGGCTTTCAATTGTCTTGCTATTCATGGTTCCTAACTATGATAATAGGAACACAGCAAAAACTTCTTTTTTTTGTCTCTAGTGTTAAAAGAACAAAAACAGATTTAAGTGGATTTCTTGTGACACCGACGATACCGTTGAGCCTCCTGACTCGTTTTGTTATTATGACTTGCTGCCTACTCACTCACCACAGTGGCTGCCTCGTGACTGTGCTCGTTTAATGCTTTGAGAAATTTATAGGGATGAATATAAGACAGCCAGAGCAGCAGCGGAGTCCTCGTATACAGACTTCAACATAAGCTGAGGACCACTTGCAAACACTCTGGGTGGTCTTCTTGGGTCGGCCTGCACGTGGGCATTCTTGGACTGATCCAATGGCTTGATGGCGCTGCCTCAGGCGGACAATGACAGAGTGTGACACTGCAAGCTTTCTGGCAACTTCTCGGGCTCCAACTCCATTCTGCAGCCATGCCATAGCTCTGGCACTATCAAAGACTCAGCTTTCGTCTTGGTGGCATGTTGGTGCGATGTTGGATTTTGCGCAAACGGCGGCTTATATTGCCACCAAAGTGAGCACAGTTCGAGACCATACGTCAGTTTATGACGTGCATCAGACATTTTAACTGAGGAATGTCCGCCCGTGGTGTCGCACACAAGTCGATAAAAAACAGCAAATTTGGCTAAAATTCCCCAAGAATTTCAGTACTGCACGTGGTGGTTTTGGCCTTTTAGGAAGCTTCGTAGTGTTCATTGGTAACCCATTAACACTTTCAAAGCAAAATGTTTTGAAATATTCCTTGCTGTCTTTCCGGATTTAAAAAAAATCAGGGCTGTCTGTCAAGGTGGTCCTTAACTTATGTTGAAGTCTGTAGATAACTTTTAAGATAAGATACATCTTTATTGTCAAGGTCCTGGCACATTGGTTTGGTATTTGGCCACATACACACATGCACACACACCACACACACACACACACACACACACACACACACACACACACACACACACACACACACACATACACATTCACACACACACATGCACGCACGCACGCATATACACCCCCCCCCCCTCACAAACATGCACACTCACACGCATACGCACACCCATATACACAAACACTCCTCCCTCACACATCCTCTCTTCCACACACATCTGTGCACATAACATAACAAATAATTGTAAGCCTATATGCTTGCACTCACAATAAACAGGCTCACAGTACCGTCAGCATAATATTAATGAACAGTAATATATAAACATTAAAGGTTTGTGACAAACTTATAATTAGTATTGGTAGCTGTTTATTTAGGTTTTTTGTCAGTGTTTTACTTTTACGGGCGCTTGAAACTGCATAATAAGTCATGAGTGAGCTTAATAAAATATTAAATATCTATATAGACCCAAAAAAATATATAAGATTAAATGGAATAGCTGTAGCATACCAATATTAGTTTGTTGTCATTTCAATCTCCCGAGAGCGCACTCATATGACCGAATGCAGTTACAAGCGCCGTAAAATTCTGACTAAAACAAAAACAAAATAAAAATCCCCCGAGGGCGAAGGTGTAGCCTATTCCGGCATTGGGCCCACGAGTACGACGATCGTTCCATCCGCCCACGACCAAAATTTAAGATGTAAATACATCGGTTATCAAACTAGGCTATATCAACAAAACTGAAATTTGTGTGCAAGTTTTCAACGGTGAATGTGATACTTATACTTATTGCTGTGTATTACAAGGTAATAATTGATCAAATTAGTGGATTTTTTTCTCACGTCGAATAATGACAATGTCATCAATTAATTGATTTCGAACCCAATTGTGTACCGTAATAATGTGTTATAAAAAGAAAGAAGGCAATGTGTATTTTTGGCCATAATTTCTAAACATTCAAAAATGCCCAGATTAGGTCTAATGGGTGACCTCCGGTACATCCAAAATGCATACAAAAAGACACAGGCTATAAATGATATGAAAAAATAATTGTTATTTACTTTCATACTACATTTCCATTTCCAAAAAGAAATCCGACAGGCTCATTTTTATTTTCAACCAATCAAAAGCTGTATATGATTCACACCTGAACGTTTTCCTTTCTGTGATTCGTCCAATCGTATAGCTTCTATGTGTGCCGGCAGATTGAAAATTTAGGCCAGGCCCTGCCAGTAGCCAGGCGCTGTTTTGAGGCGTTCGAGTCTGCAATCAATTCCACTTTCCTTGTTCGTATTTTAGGTGTTTCTTTTCAGCCCATCATCGGGAAAGATTTTGTATTTTTATGTTATTAAGAAAATAATTTTATAGGCCTATATCTGACGTACGTTGTTTTTTTTTTTATAACCTCCAGCCTGAGCTATGGATTTTGAATTCGATGCTCCACAGTTTTTTGACTTTGATAATCCCCATGTCTACGAGGAGGCATACAACGACACTTGGTTCGACAATCGTAAGTTTTAGATTTTTAACATAAAAAAGGTGAATTCTTACAGCAAATAGTCTAGATAGATCAAGATCTATAAAACTGCTCTCAGTCTCAACTGTATAATGTGTGTTTGTGTGTGTACAAATTCAAAAACTCGGCAGGCGTCAGCTGAACTTTACTGAGACTTCCTATGTTGTTGTAGGAAGTGGGGAAAGCCTCTAGAATCTCGAGGCCGAGGCGGGAGGAATCCCGTAACGAACGACTACTATGAAATAGGGTTGGGTACGTTAGGGTAACGGTTAAGGCTAGATCTAGGGTTAGGTCAGGGTTTGGGGTAGGGGTAGGGTTGGAAGGTCTCCTGCCTTTATTATTGTGTTTGTTGGTGGGGTGGTTGCTCGTTTCGCAAGTCCCAAAAGTACAGCTGATCCCCAATCCAATCAAACGCCAAAACCCATCACACCATATGTAGATTAGATCTAGATATCTAGACTAATCTAGATTAGATCTAAATTTCTCTATATCAAATAGCTTACAAACCAAACTTGCACAAAAAATCAAGGCGAACAAAAATTCAACAAAAGAAAACGGAGTGGTTATCCATACAAATTGTACGAAGTGCGCGGGTATCCATACCATAGTAGGCCTGCATGCCCACAGGCCTACTACCTACATGTTCTGTCTTAGTAGATCTAAAAATCTAGATCTAGATCTAGATCTAGATCTAGAATGATTTTAAGTGTGTACCATTTCAGATTTCAACAACCACGAGAAGTTAATAAAAAATCATTTTAAATCGCACTGGTCGGATTTCAAAAGTCTGAACAGTTCTTCTTGAACGGCGTCAATAGTTGGTGTCGCCACCTCATTTGACCAAACTTTTGGCACAGCGTCAAAGCATGGCCAGGACATGCCTTTGGAGAACTTGTTGCGGTAGGTTCTGCCACTCCTGTGACTGTACGAGGTAGCTCAAGAGTTGTTGAAGGTTTATGCAGGAGAGTGGTTGTCCCTTATCCACCGGTCAATGTGATCCCAAATGTTCTCTAGATCTACAGGGTTGAAACTCCGACTAAAAGCTGGCCAGTCCATACGGAGGACACCTTGCTGCAGCAGAAAGTCCCCCGCGATACGTACTCGATGTGACGTGGTGTTGTCATCCTGCAGAGAGGAACAGCAAGGGGTTGTAGGATTTCTTCCCTGTACCGTACCTTGCTGCGTTTAAACAGCCCTGTATATTGTACTGGGGGGTCCTGTGGTGAGCTGAGAAGCCTCCACACACCAGAACGGGCCCTTGGCAGCAGATTGAATCTGGATTTGTCCGAGAAGACTGCCTGGTCCCACTGACGTTGTGTCCACTGTGAATGGCGAGCAGACCACGCCCAACGAGCTGCTTTGTGGGGTGGCGTGTGTCTTGGGCGCCTGGAAGGGACTTGAGAAGCGAACTTGGCTCTACGGAGATGGTTCTTCACCTCGCTCACGTGGACATTGTCACCCGTAACTGTAACTGGCCCCCGATGCGGTTTGTAGTGGTGGTTCGTGACATCACAGCCTGTCTGACGATGAACCGGTCGATGCTGTCGCTGGTCAAACATGGCACCCTTCTGGTCGCTCGCCGTCGTTCTTGTAGCCTTCATATATGACTGAACGGGAGACCCCAAGTCAACATGCAATGAGTCGGAACGTGGTGGAGGCAACGAGCGTCGTTGGGCCATCTTGTTATAATGAAACATGGCTGAAAAACGCTGGCTTATAAAGGGTTGCATGCATGTGAGCGATATTCACAGCCAAGACATCTGTTAAGCACGTGCCAAGCAATATAATAACGAAGTAGCTAGCCGTACTTAAGTAGGGCTAGACTGCCAGTCTAGCCATACTTAGTTCTAGGTTTGGCCCTATCGGCTCAAGTCTGTTAAGTACACAGGTCTCATTAGATCTAGATCTAGTAATTATTCAGGTTCAAATACATGCAAGTCAGTAAGGCACCTTTTGGTTTTGTCTAAAATACAAATACTTTAGGCATTGCAAACTAAAAATTTCATTTACAATTCAGCCATCAATATTAAGTACGGCTAGCCTGACAGTCTACCCGTACTTAAGTACGGCTAGACAAGAAGTCTAGCCGTGCTTAGTCTAGCCGTACTTATCTTAGGTCCTATTAACATTAGAAAACAGGTTTAAAATACATGCACAGTCATTAAGGCACCTGGTTTCGTCTCAAATACTTTAGGTACTGCACACTAAAAATGTAGGCCTATTTTTGGTAAATGGTCAGTCTAGCCATCATATTAAAAATAAGTATGGCTAGCCTCTTCCATATAATAATATCAAGCAGGGGAGGGGGGAAATTCCGTTAAGGCAGGTTCGACTGCAGTACTTTATGCTTGGTTGGGTTTAAGCGGGGCAAGGAAAGGCCCGAACTTGGATACAGCGGGAGGGATTCTTGAGTGAATTGTATCTGGGGGAAAGGGGTTGAGCTGTAAGTAGGCTCCAAAAAGGCAGTCAGCGGTGCGACGTTGTGGTTGGCCAGTCCAGTGATGTAAAAGGGGGGGGGGGAGCAGTTGCCATGCACCTAGCTCAAGGGGCCCCCGAAACTAAGTACCCGGTTACTGTGTACATAGATACTGATGCTATGTGCCTGCTTACCGTGTACATAGTCACTCCCTTACATTGTATAGGATTAAATTTAAAATTGCTGGGGCGTGTGGTGACAAATCACTAACCAACTCGGTCCTTTCAAAAGTGCCTTCAAAATCAATCATATGTCAATAGAGATGGGACTAGGCCTATAGATAGGTCTACTAGATCTAGATCTAGCAATGTCATGCACAGTCCATTTTGTATACAAACCTTTTTTGTCACATGATAATGTGCCGCATTTGTGATTGTCAGTGGCTCCACTGACACTACCACTGCTCTTCTCCTTCTTTGCCCTTTCCTATCCTTCGATATAGCCTTTACCTTAGCCTATATTAGTCCTTTAGGTTTCATCCCTCAGTCTCTGTACATACTGTAACTCTGTAAGTTGTTTAAACTGTATATATATATAAGCATTCTACATTGGTGAGGTTTTCCTCATTGTCCCTTCTTGTGAAAGCACCATCACCTGCTGATCATCCTCATCCAGGTGAGACAGACAGAGAAGTGAGGCAGCAGCTGTGATGGTGCGGAGTACAGATGATGGTGTTGAGGGTCTACTTGATGTTGAAGAATGGTCCCAAAATGTCCTTTCCTTCTTTTCTGAACCCCCATTCTGACAAATCGAGCAGTTTGCTAACTTGCCCTCTAATACTGGTGACAGCGTAGTTGATCTAGATCTAGCCATATGTGAGCGTTGATTGGAATTTTATTGATCATTTAACCCACCTCAGGTCACAGTTGAGACTTTTTGTCAACTCCAAATTGTTTCCAGCTTGGTATGCTGTCATCTGTTGCATCATCACAGCATTGTAGGCACCAGTCATTGTTGACTGGTGGGCTTGATGCATTCATTTTCTTTCGTGTGGGTACTTTTTACACTGGGGGCAAAACGATAGTTTTTGTTACATGAAGCTACAGCGAGCACCTAGCACACCTCTGTGATTGCCCCAAATATAGATGACATATTTCTGCTATCTATTTTTCGTTGTCTGCGGGGTTTCCCCCCAAGACTCTTTTAGGTTTCCCTTGCCGGTAACTGTGTACTAGGTCTTGCTAAGTTGGGTTTTTTTTTTCTTTTGGTATTAATTTGTGCTATCTTTTATAATATAAACACTCTCAGCGATTCTCGTTCCATAAATTTACCCTCTCCTCAAAATTGCCCACACGCACGCGCACACACAGCCCAAGCAGTCGGCGATGAAACCTAGTGGCGTAGCCCACCTTGCACTAATATAATGGGGCGCCAGTTACGGTGAGATCTGGTCAGCTGGCGAGAGAAGCATTTGGGAAGCCCTGGAAGACGACAAAAATAAATGGTGGAAATACGTCATCTGTGTTTGGGCCAATCATAGGTGTGCTAGGTGCTCCCTGTAACTTCATGTTTTTGTTGCATTCTGGTTCGGTTCCCATCTGGAGTCATGATAAAAAGCAAGAAAATTGTAAGCCTTGACCTTGCTATAGCATTAAACTGCATTTGGTGATGCTGAAAGGTGCATCTTAGGGTAGGGTTTTGTTGGGAGGTTGCAAAAATCTGAAATTGTCAAAATTTGGGCGTAACCATTTAAATCACGTTTCCGTGTAATTATCTGTTATCTTGTGTTTGTGGAAATGCGACCCGACATATTACGTTTTTAAAACCACTTGTTTCGTTTCAAACTGATCAGTAAGTCATTACCCAGACGAAGAATTCATTTATCTTTGACTGTCCAGTCAAACTAAAGGCTTGTTAGCTCGTACTTTTTTGTATTCGGCCCATACCATAATACATAACTTCGCATCGGACGGTGGTACCGTCCAGCCATGGTTACGGACCTAGACTGCCGGATGCTGCCATCGTCCAGACATGGTTAGGTGGATTGCTTGTGGCAACGATGATATGACTTCTCTGGCAAATGCCTTCCCTTCTCCCTTTTTCCCTGTGCCTCCATTACCGTTCCCATATTTCTTAAAAGTATTGCATCCGGTGTTGGAGAAAAAAACTTATGAAATTACCAGCCTTTCATATTTTATAATTTCCCAGGCATGGAGGATGACATTCCTTGTGACGCCGATCAAAAAGGTGAGTACAGCTATCCCATTTTAAATGAATTAGTTATAAATTATTTAATGACCAAATACAGATCTATGTTCTTTAAATTTTAATTTCATAGATTTAAAACTAAAACTTAGCAAATTGAAATAGAGACATAATGTGGTTTAAGAGTTGAACTCCTTTTTTTTCTTCATATATTTCATGGATGTGAATGTTAAAATAATCTTAAATTAACGGATGTACAATTTTAGACTTTAAAAATTGTTACTGCTTCTATTTTTTTCAAAGGTTGTTCCTCTCTTATTTATTAAGTTATAAATATGTATATTATTTTTTTGTTTACTGCGTTTCCTACTAAATAGACTCTGATTCATTTTTCCATCTGCTTATATCTTTTCCATCTGCTTATATTTATTAAATTATAATATTAGTGAGGTGTTGGCTTATTCTTAATTCATAACAATACAATGGGACTTTTCTAGAGTCTTCTGGATAATATTTTTTTGAAATAATAAAAGTATGAGTTTATATTTGTGTTATGACTAGTTAGTAACAGTTGCTTCAGTGTTTAAATGATTTAGTTGTTGAATGAAAGTTGCCTTTTTTTCATCTATTTCGAAATAGATGGAATGGCCAGAAAAGCTGGGAATGGAATTCCTGCGAAACCTCAAAGAGTCAGAGTACCGAAGTCAATGGGTAAATATTACTGTGATTTTTATAGAGATGAGAGATATGACCTTGTAAAAAGTCTCGGGCTTTTTGTGATTGCTGTGGAAACAATTAAAAAATACAGATTCTTGCCTTAGTAATTGTTCCATCATTCACTATTTGAATCCGAACAGTGAGTTAGTGATTATTCTTCTTTCTGTTTAGGCCTGTATTGTCAGTGTTACAAAGGTCTTGGTAGCTGGCTGTCAGCAGTTTTTTACTTTATTGTACAGGTTCAGAATGACTGAATGCTTTTTCAATACTTTTAACAACTTTGGAGCAACATGTGATATGACATGTAAAACTTATGTTTTTAAAATGCCTTAGTCCTGTATCGTGTATAATGTATACCATTACCAGGTTCACACTTTGCTTTAATGCAAGTTTTTAATACTACAATTTTCGAAACAAAGGGTGCTTGTGTAACTTGGCGTTTTTAGTTCTGCCAACGTATGGCACGGTATGGTGAAAACTGATGAATGGCCCCTTGTATGCAGGGAGACAACTTTTTCAGGAGAAGCATAAATGTTTTCACTAACTCTTCTATTATTTACTATTTAGCTATAATTTAGCACAGAGATCTGATCAAACTGTTCATAAACCTTTTTCAAAAGTTTGCATCGTTTAGGTTAAAAATAAACAAAGTTATTTGACATTTTTGTCATTCTCCCTTACACTGCATGATGGCAGGTTAGCCGTGTAATGTATGCAAAAATGACTACGGTTACCATTTTGCGCTCTCCCTTACACTCATGAATTGTTATGGCTATGGGCGGGGGCAATAGTTTGGTGGTGGATGTGACTCAGTCAACAGTTATGACTGTACAGGTTACTGTGAATAGAAATAAGAAGAACACGGACTAGTCAACAAGTTACTGGTCTTTGTTATTACAGAATTATTATTGATTCTTATCATTTTCCTTCTGCGTTGGTTCACAGGCTGTTCCTATGCTTTACAGCCATTATCGTACACTTGTAACCAGTCCCATCTTCTGTACCTCATCTTTAACCACTTGTTTTCCGTGTACATGTATATATATCCCATTTTATCTGGACTAACTCTGTAACTGTAAGCGTGCTACATTTTCCTTCATCTCCAGGTTAAAGTCTTCAAAGTCAATGTCCAAATGTGTTATTCAGGCACACGATTTGTATAATAGCTTGATTTAAAACTTTCATTCAGTATCAAAGTTTGTTCTCTGTGAAATTTATTTTTTGTATTCTCTTCAGAAGTGAGTTTAAAATACTTTTATTTTCGCTGATTGCAAAATGCTTCCAGCACGACCAAAGGGATCCATGTGTTTATTAAATGATGTCAATACTGTCAGATCGTTGTAGCCAAAGTCAAATTTTCATATCTAAAAAATGCAGCAGTCTGTCAAAGACTATCACAAATGCTCGGGAGAGGTAGAGTGTGATGCTCTGTACAGCACCGATCATTTTTAACAAAGGCCCCAGTTGATAGGGAAACAATGAATTGTTTCATACTACCTAGACAAGACAAGGACAGTTTTAGTCTGCAGTTATATAAATTGATCGAACAAAGAAATTGTAAAGCAAGTCTGTTGCCACAATACGTCCACTTTTTAAATTTGACAAAGAAATTAACTCTCATAATGTTGTGTTGTTATTTGTCATGTAATTCTTCAATGATGTCTGCCAGTGACAGTTTGCTAGACTGGACTGTAAACTGATATGACATCAATAAATTTCTTGCGCAATACTTTTTTTTGTCAGTGTAAAGGAAAACGATGGCCTCTCAATTACTCAACAGCAGATTAAAATATGACAAAAATAAAGGCACAGAATTGAATACTATGAGATATATGGAATTCTTTTTAAATGGAAAATTTCTGACCATTTGTCGTTTTTTCCTTTTGACTAAATTTGACAGCAGAGTTGTTTGTGATTATATGTGCACTTTTATCCCGCCTCTCCGCCGTTTTGTTAAGAGGTGAGAATAATGTGGGCTAAGTCTGTCAAATTCATAGGCTTGAAATAAAGTATTGATAAATATCAGTAGATTCCAATGAGACTTAAAAAGTAAAAATGTTTGAAATGGTTTACGGCAATATTCCAAGTCCAATGTTAATAGGAATAAATATTGACATTTCTTATGATTTATGAGAGGCTTGCTGTACTTATGTTGTTTTTTGTCTAGGTACAGCTGCTCCCCAAAGTGACAGTGCCGTAAAGATGGAAACCTCGGCAGCCAGACCTGCAGGGTAATTATAGATTTATATCGAGTCTTTATTTGAATGTGGGTTCTGTACATGTGGGAAACAATTTGCACTGTTTCACACACTTACACATTATCCATGATTTGGGTGTCATGTGTGACTGATTTGACTGCTTCTGCATCAATAAGTGTGATCTTTTCTCTAAATCACTTTTGTAACTCAGATAAAAACGTGTTCAGTGAGACCCTATTTATCACATTCAGTTTGATTCTTAAAATAAATGTTTGAAAAATGTGTGCTTGTACTTCAAGTAAACTTTGTATAATAAAGCATTTTAGTTAGATGATCATTGTTGCATGTTTTTTGTTTTGTTTTGTTAGAGTGGAGCATGTGATGATTTTTTTAAAGCCACTATTTTATAATTGAATGTCTATTGTCTTGTTACTTCCTTTTTCAAGGGATTCATCTTCACAAATGAAGCCACGCAGAGTTCCTGTATGTGACAAGCCTGCTCCACAAAAGACTGAGAGGTAATATTTGCTTTACCCAAATGGGATTTTTTCCCTTTGTTACGTATAATGCAGCAGTGTTCTTTCTTTCTTTTACCTTTTTAAGAACATTTTCGTACAATTGTTTTGGTAAAAGTGTAGTACCACTTCCTATGTCCTCGTGCACCTTGATACTCAGAGCCCGCTGTTTCCTTCTTATGTAAACAGGGTTCGTACTGGTCCGGGAAGAATGGAAAACTCTTGGAATTTTGTTTTTATTTTCTAAGACATGGAAAACTCTTAGAATTTTGGGAAGTTGGCCAAATTCTTGAAAAAGTCTGGGAAAAACAGATTTTTAACTTGGTCTATTGTAAAAATATTTCCTCGAAGTTAAGAAAGCCTCGTCTTTACGCATTCTGAATTTTTAAAATACCGCACCGGAACGAATTATCTTCTGAAATGACACGTTAATTGTCTTGGAAGAAAGAAATCTGGGCTTGAAAATTTGGAAAAGTCTTGCAAAAAAAAATCTCCAGTTCAGTATGAACAGTGTGTAAAACATGGCTGTGGCCTCTATGGTGACCAATGATGGTGACCAATGATGTTGCACACTGGATCAAGCTCTTCTAAACTGAGGGGGGAGGGGGGTTGTACTTTTACTTACTCTCGACTGGTTCATATAATGTCTAGGGGCTCTCGTGGCCTAGAGGTTAAGGTGTTGGCCTCTCTCATTCAAAGGTCCCGGGTAGCGACCGAAAAATTTTCTTCTCTACAATTGTCTCCTTTCACCTCCTTTCCTGCTCTCTAGCAATGTTCTGTCGTCTACTTTCGTCTCTTCTTTCTGCCTCCACCCCCTCCTCTGGGCTCCTGACTCTTTCTGCGGCCTTTCTACTGCTAATCCATGGCTCCTTCTTACTGCTGTCTTTCAGCCACACCCCTGATCTTCTAGCCTTCTCGGACAAGGGCGAAAAACCTCGGAGGGCTCTTGTGCAAGTTGCGCTCGTTAAAGATTCCTTGGGGGTCTAAAATCGATAAGAGTAGGCTTCGGCCACCACCTGGGCAAAATTCAAAATTTCCTACCAACTGAAAACTTTTAATGTGTCCCCTGTGCCAATATGACCTAATGCAGTTGCGAGCGCCGTAAAACACTTACCAAAAAAGAAAACAAAATTAATGTCCCTTTTTGATTACCTTCTTTGCCTTGTGCTGGCTCGTCAACAAAATTAAATTACTTGTTTCTTTCTTTGTTCTTTTAAATACTTTTCATTTTCCTGTTGATTGATTACAACTTTGTTTGCCAATAGTATGATGGTTTCAATGGAATATATTTTAACCACTAAAACAGGTTTGTCTGTATTAGGGTATGTACAAAAAGAACACTTGCTTGTGATAAAGCGCTTTCTTGTCGTTGAAGTGTATATACTGAAGTGTTGCTTGCAACTGGTATAGACACCAGAACTTGGGTCATTTGGCCCCACAGCGGATTCGAGTGAAAGAAGCGAACTATTGTTGTTAAATAGTGTTTGTAGAAAATTATCCTAGGAAAACTCTAAAGAATGGGCTTTCTTGAGATGAATAAAAGGAGGCAAATGGAAGGTGAATATCATCAGTTGTTTCCTTTGCTTAAAAGGCGCCCTTCTCGTTTTTAGTCCAACATGAAAATGAGCCAAGAGACATTCAAGTATATCTTAGGAAAAAATCGAACCAAAGATAACGGAGAACTGGCGCAACATTGTGGTTTGCGTGGTCTTTCCTTCTTTTGTCCCAAATTGCAGGATTTTAAAACATGGCTGTGATATCTAAAGGTGAGCACAGAGGGGTGGCCGATTTATGCCACTTAATCACTGTGAACCGCAAGTTATAAGAATCAATCTAAACAATTTTTACAACCGCACAGAGACCCGGTCTACTCTCTGCGCCTATCCGTGGGATTGGTGGCGACTTATTTTATGGGAAGGAAAATTTGATTCCTACTCACAGAAAGCCACTGCTCGATGCGAAGCAGTTACCCGTCAGTGAGCCATCACCGGATGTGACATAGGGCTGGACTAGGGACTTTTTAACTGACTATTATCTCAAGGAAACACTGTAGACAGAATTTGATTAGGTTTTTTAAATCAGCGACACAAATTCTACTGACCATGAGAGCAGAATTTGAGTTTGTGGAGTGATAAATATTTTTTTTAAACCACAGATTTCTAGGTACTGTTCTTGGGCCTATTCAATATTCAAAAGTATGTGTTGCGTTCGATAACCATGTCACAAAGATATGATATGGTGCAATGTCATTGATGCACTTAAAATGAAGGACACCTATCTTGTCCTTGTTTTTAACTAATAAAGCAAACAAACAAGTGAAATAAAAATTGTCTTTCTCTTTCAGAACCCCACATCCATCCCCTAAGAAAAAGCAGAGGTTGTCTGAAGAAGAAGGGAAGAACTTGGTTGAGGCAAAGGTCGAAGCTGAAGACCAAGCCCTTGTTGTGGAGATGAGTTCACCTGCTGCCAACACACGGTCACGAAAAAGGACTTCTGCAGAGAGTAACAGCAGTCCCAGTGCATCTTCTCACTCCGAGATGGAGCCCGCGTCTTCTCCTGTTCAGCAGCCTGCTAGATCTCCAGTGACGAGACAGCAGTTCAAATCTCCTGTAGCAGCGAAGCTTTCCAAGTCCCCCACAAAAGGATTACGTTCTCCCAGGAAAGCTGTCAAATCACCTTACAAAGCTCCCAGGTCTCCCAGGAAACCACCCAAATCTCCGTACAAAGCCCACAAATCTCCCAGGAAAGTTCTCAACTCCCCTTACAGAACCCACCGATCTGGAAGTTCAACCTTAAATCTTCCCAAGTGTGCCAGCACTGGTAAACTGCACAGGTCAAACTCGAAATCTGAAAAGAGAACTTTCACTGCCGAGTCCAGACGACCAGGCATGGATATGAAAACAAGGTCAACTCTGAATTTGAAAGGAAAAACATCGGAGGAAATAGAACTGGAGAGAATAGCTACTATGCAGAAAGAATTGGCAAAAACACGCCAACAAGCACAGGTAACATTTTGTCATACACAATCATAGTATAATATATATTAAAGTTGAAATAAGTCTCTCTCATTTTAAAAACAATTTTAGTTGTCAGATTTACCTCTTTTGTTATAATGCTTGTAACATAATATGTGAGGCATCGTGGTGGAATCAGGCGCTTGTCACAATAATGAAATCAAAGAAACTGGCCTATTTCTGGCTGTTGGGCAATTTTTTCAAAATTTCAGATAATTTATTTTTTGGTTCAACATCTTTTATGCCCATTTAAAAAACACATTTTGGTGTGGATTTTACTTAAAAACATTGATTAGAGGCAGAAAAATTGAAAATATGCAGTTTTCAAGGACACTCAAGCTTTGGAAGTAACCAAACTTTGGCTGCCATTTTCTCACAAATTATGCCCCAGGCACCAGGTGGTGATCCCACTCCCTTCATCACATATCTGGATTTCTATTCATAATAGATGTAATTTTTTCTGCGAAAGACAAATGTACAAGCCAATATGATGCCAGTAACTCAGTGTGCCCAAAAATTAACGAGTGCCTGATTCCCTGTGTCGTGACACATTTTTAATTATTATAAATGAATTACACCAGCTCTGCTCATCATAGTTGTGGGTTTGGTTATGATTTATTTTCAAAGAAGTGGGCTTACATTTGATATGTAGTGGTTTGCCCTTCATGTTGTATTCACTACAAAAGAAGTGCATTCGATTGCGGAGTGAGAAGAGCTTTTTATGTGTCTTTACTGGAATGTTGTTTCTCCTACTTTTGGTTAAAGCTATTCGCTTGCCAAACAATCTAAACTGAATTGTGTTAATGGGTGTGTGGAACAGGGGGGCCAAATATCATCGCGTTGCCTGATATGTTAGGGGGCCAGATGTTGACTTTTGAAATGAGACTGATTCTGTATCCAGTAGTGAGTAGTGTGTATCATTTCATATTATTTAGAAAAAATATATAACATTCTATTGTTTTCTTCTTTATTTACATCCCCATTTGTGTCTAAATGGCTTTCCTGTGACAGTTGTCATTTTATGTCATTGTCGTGCTTCTGTAATCTGGATAGCATGATTAGCATTTATGGTTAGGTGCTTCCCCATTGCACGCTGAAGACTATGAGTTTGGTTGGGATTTTCATCTCTCTCAGCTTGGAGTGGCCCTGTCCCTAATGATCTAAATTGTTGAAGGCGGGGTAAAACATTTGCAGTTAATCTGGGTGGAGCATTGTTACAAGGACATTGACTGGTCCAGCTTCTTAATTTTTTTCTCAGTTACTCTGTCAGTCTTACTGTTTCCCAGCATGGCTATTATTGTGTTGGTGTCCCTCTCTGTACTCCCAAAATAGTTGGTCTATAAATGAATGAAGACATAAAATTAGCTCATTTTGGCAACAGATGGTCTTGTTTCTGTTCCATCTCTCATTTTTGTCTTCCTGTCTTGATTTGCCTGAGTACGGTTCTAGCTGACCACCATAAATGGCGATATGATTGTCTTGAATCAAAACTCATGTTGGCGTTTTATGTCCTTGGGTGTTATTACTTGTGATAAGAAGCTCATGTGGGCCAAATTTGTTGTGGAATCTATGTCTTTATATCATGAAAATTGATTTTTACTTCAGGATTCTTACAAGAAAGCCATGAAGGCTGGAGGCTATATACCTGTTCGATCTACCCAGTGTGCAACTTTGCCACAAGGATTCCACTTTAAAACTGATGGAAGGTTAAAGAATCCCCAGGCTTCTGGAAAGGATTTGAAAGTGAAAGATTTTACAAAATGTTTGCGGGAAGCTTTACCTCAGGGCCAGGTGAGTTTTATTAGTGTGAAAGGTATTTAATTTAATTAGAGCCTTAGAAGTGAAGGTGGGTGCTCTGGTGTGGTTTGCTCCTACTTTCCTATTCTATCAAACATCTATTGTCCTTATCTCTCCTTCTATTTGTATATATATATATTAACACCTCTGTCTTACATTCGGCACTTGTATGACCTAATTGTTGCAAGTGCCATAAATCTCCTACTAAAAAGAAATTAGAAGTGAAGCATCAGTTTTGTAAACTTAAAAGCCAAACCTGTTTTTTTTCGTAAATTTTAATTTTATGTACTTTATGGTGGGTCTTGGTGTACGGTCCGATAGTTTGGGGAACTGGGAGAGAGGTATAATGTTATATTATGTGAAAGTGTGGTGTAGACCATTTTGCACGTGATGAGCAGACATGGGAGTCTGTTAAACCTGACAAGTCGATTTGGACTGCTGATGACAGGGGAGTGGGTGGTTGGCGGATGCTTTGGTGTGGTTTGCCAGGATCTCAGACTTACGCGAATTTCCGGGGTTCGCGGTTCGGAGAAAGTCCGGGGCTGAGATCAGCGGCCGCGGAATTGCTGAGCATCGCGCGGTCATGTTTCCGTCTCGCTTCGCGTCTGCACGGGTTTCATAATTATCTTCTCCGAGAAAAAATGCGAAAATTTGGAGAACATAATAATAGAGCGATGTATGCCAGTTTGGCACTAACCGCCCACCTTTACTTCCTGTTCATAACTACTAAAGTTTCCCAAGTGCAAGAAGTAACATCAGATTCAAATGAGAAAGATGGAGGAGGTGATACTAGATATAGATCTAGCTCGAGTCAACCCAAGCCAGTGCCTATGATTCCGCTATCAGACAGGGTAGCCTCAATGGAAGCCATGATTCTCTCTGTAATGGCTCAGCATTCAATTCCTCTGACATTTGCTCCTGTGCTTGTGGATGTAGCTAAAGCCTGCAGTACAGACCCACAGGCCCTGGCTTCCGTGCAATTAAGAGCATCTGCTGCTGCATACAAAATTAAATTTGGCCTTTCTAAGACAGTGAAATAGAAACTTGTGCTTGATCTACAGGTCTCCCCTTTAAAGTGCATTATTGTGTTTTTGTTTTGTGCCATTGTCTGTATACCTTGTTTTGTTTGTTTACATGGATCCTTTCAGTGCTCGTTTTCTTGCTCTTCCTTTTGCAATGTTTGTAGGCCTACTTGTGCACTTTGTTGCGTCTATCGCGATCCTCCGACAAAGTTCAGGGGTTGGGGAAATTTTTCACTGGGAACCCTGGTTTGCTCCTTCTTTCCTATCAAACATCTATCGTCCTTATCTCTCCTTTTTTTGTGTATGTTACTCTCTTGTAACCCCTCTATTCTTCAGCACTTATGTGACTTTATTATGTTGCAAGTGCCGTAAAACTCTTACTAAAACTAAAATGACGGGGGAGGAAAGGGATTTATTTAAGTATTTTACACTTTGTATTTATCATGATGTACTCACTACCATAAAGAATTTGAACAATTGAGTGTCTCATTTTTCGGGAGACTTTATAATTTGGTGGCAATAAAGTGGGTGGAGGTTTAAGTATGGTCCCTCATTTCAAACCGCTTGACCTAGTGTGCAGCATCCAGAGTAACTGAGTGTCAATTTGGGTCATAGTTCTGTCTCACAGGAACTGGAAAGCGTAAGCTGTGATTGTCTCCATGAGTGAAGACAATTGGGCCGTACTATACTTTTTACCGTGAAATGATCTCCCGCTGTGGTGATATAGAATAAGGTTTGCTTTGTTGGGCTGTAATTGAGAAAATGGGGGGGTTTAAGCCAATTTTCTTTTTGCTTTGCAGTATTTACTTTTTATTCTGAGTCTGAGGGAATTGCGGGTGGATGGAGGGTGCTATTGGCAGGCTCTACTTTCTTTTTTCCCCACTGTTGTTTTTGTCTTTCAGTCTGTCTTACTTATTAAAGTCCTCTTCCTTAATATGCTTATAAATCTTTTTCAAGCTCCAAGGCACTTTTCTTGAATTCTTGAATTGGTCTTGATTATTGTCAGTCCTTTGTGGCTCAGTTTTTGGTTTAGATTTTTTTTCCTTCAACATCTGTCTTTCTTGTTATTACCCTGCAGTGACTTTTATATTGTGTCAGTGCTTCTATGTCCTAGTCAATTGTCTTTTTGGACTTTTTTTTAAAGCTGTAATCACCACTGATGTAAGAACATCTGATTGGCTTCAAATGTGTCATGGCGCGGTAAAATCAGGCGCTCGTCAGTTTTGGGGCATGTAGAGTTATTCATATCATCTTAAAGCTTGTTCATTTGTCTTTCATTTTGCCAAAAAAAAGCACCTTTAACTTGAATATAAGTTGAGATATTTGCCCTTGCTGGTGGTGGGGTCACCTGGTATAAGAGGTAAAATCTAGCGAGAAAATGGCTCCCAAAGTTTTGGTGACTTCCAAAGCTTGAAAATCTTCGGAAACTGGAAATTAACGTTTTTCGTGCCTAATGAAAGCTTGAAAATCCTTGGAAACTGGAAATTAACGTTTTTCGTGCCTAATGAAAGTTTTTCGGTAGCACCAACGCAGAAATGTGTTTTTGAAAGGACATAAAAGGTGTTGATCCAAAAATAGAAAATTGGAGAAAAAATTGCTCGAAGCCCACAAAAATGGCGTTTTCTTTGTTTTCATTGTTGTTACGAACGCCTGATTTCACTATGCTGCCTCACAAATGGTTTATGGGTGTGCTTGGTTGAAAGATAGGTCTTCTTGTCTTTCTCTCTGTTGCTTCACTGTGTTGATGTGTTTTGATTTATTATTTTAAAACGCAAAAAGTATGATTGGGTTTTTTTTCATCCCCCTCCCCGTGAGTGGAAATTTAGGGTTTTACAAAGTTCTACCGTACATCATTCCACAGCATCTTCCATCAAAACCTCAAGTTCGAGGATTGACGAAGCCTCAGCCTTTCAAGCTTTCTTCTGCAAAAAGTACAAATGCACTTCACAGCAATAAGTATGAGTCAGATGCTGAGAAACTTATTGCCTTTCAAAGGCGCACGCCGGAGAGATTCAGAACGCAGCCTCATGGTAAGTCAGTACTTGTTTTAGAATTGTTTCTGAAGTACAGTTGGGCAAAGATAACATATGAACATGCGAAGTTGGAATTATTCCTCAACTGAATTGCTATATTTCCTTTGTATTGGCAACACTGTTTTCCACCAGTATGGATTTGTCAAACAGCTCGTATTGAAAAACGTGGTCAAATTGTTTCGTTACGGTGGTCTCATTCAATTTTCCCTGTGTGCATGATGGAAAAGAATGCACCCATTGCTATCTAGAGTATCAGATTACATGAGCCCACCAGATCTGCCCCCACAGAGTGATACACTTACTGCTGGTGTTGAGATGCATCATGACACTTTACATTTAGGCTAGTTACAGTATGTAGGGCACTAAGACTCCCTTGAGTCTAGTCATCTGATGATGGGTGGAGGGGGTGTGATCGAAAACAGTGTGGGGTGGCACTGGGTCATATGTGGTGTGTGATTCACGCTTATGTGAATGTGTGTGTGTGTGTGTGTGTGTGTGTATTTGTTCGGATGTGCTGGTGTGGATTGGGAAGGGATTACACCAGAGGGGTGGGTGGCGTTTTCTGACGAGAGTTGTTACATCGTCTTGATTGTTGATCAGATGTGAAAGAGCAATTTTATTATTGCCTAAGGCTCATCAGCAACACTTTACCTTTCTCTAGTTTTCACTACGGACGAGGGACACTCTCTATCCATCCTTCTGTCCTTATATTGATATAAGGTACTCTTCATGATGGCATAGTAATCTTTTCATCATCTGATATTGAAAACAAGTGTCAGATTTTAGTAGAAGTGGGTGATCCATGTTTCTAAAAAAAAATCGAGGTAGCACATATTGGCTCTAGAGCTTTTGAAAAAAAATTGCATGGACCTGAAGAAGTGTTAATGTCACAATGTGTAATATTAAATCCATGGTGCCGGTGGTTGGAGGGTGCCATTGGACTGGTAGGTTCCCCTTCATTATGTTGCCTCTCTTGTTTTTCATTTTGTCTATCTTGCTTTTTCCTAGCCCACATTTCTCATTTTTGTATGAATGTTTCTCTTCACACTCTGACATACTCAAAGCCCATGGTGTCCATGATGAATGGCTGTCTGTACTACTTTTTTGTGGACTTTTTTGCTTTGTGCAGGTGCCAAGCAGCGGTCGAGGTCTGTATCTAAGTTAACAGAAGGTTCCAGAGGTGTGAGATCCCCATCCCCTGGCCTGACAATAGCTAAGACACCCAATTTGACGACCAGGGGACGCTCAAGGCCAGTTCATACTATGTCCAGGGAGGAAAAAGAGCGACTGGAGTTTGAAGAGCACCAGAAGTAAGCTATTTGAAAATATATTGAGAGTTGCATGGTCACTGCCTTTAATATTCAACTGGGGTACTAAGAACGTGTGAATGTTGAAAGCCAGACTCGACTTTTTGTCTTTGACTATTGATGCTTTGAAAAAGGTAGTTGGGAGAGTTTAGTTTATATCACCATTTTGTTTTAGATATGTAGGTTTAGATTTGGGATTTTGATATTCTAGTGGGAAAGCATGAGATAGATTTTTGTACCTACCCTTTTTTTTTAGGTTGACTTGCAGTGTACGCTTCTCAGGAAGTTGAGTTTGTTTCAGAATGCTCTCAGGTCTGCTGGGGTAATAGTATAGATTGTAAAGCGCATAGAGCTTGCTGTTGAGCAGCAGTTTGCACTACACAAATGCTATCCTTTATTATTATTATTATAAATCTTGGATATATTTTAAAATCTAAAAAAAAAAAAATTGGAAAAAAAACCTGAAACTTGTAAGCTGACATAAATTGTTTTATCATCTCCCAGACAACAATTTAAGGCACATCCCGTGAATCATAGAATCCTGGCAAAGCCAGTCATAGGTGCGCCTAAGGCAGCACCTAAGCCCCTGACCGTGACGGAAGAGTTCAACCTCCACCATAAGAGAGCGGTTAGCGTAGAAGACCTACGGTCGAAAACTGAAAGTGGAGAGAAGTTTGAGTTCCATGCGAAACCGGTCAATCCGAAAATACTTCAAGGCCCTGTGGTAAGTAAGGCGTGTTTCTTCATTTGGTGGTCTTTTGTAAACTTCTTCGCCTTGATCAAGTGCCAAATCCTGATATATATAGACATATGTGACAATGGTTTGTCTCTCAGTGTGTTGCATAGATGCTCTAAAAAACAACTTATGTTATCCTGTTCATTTCCTGCCACCCATCTGTTTAAGTTTTCTGACAGTTATTATTGGCCTTCTACATTTTCAATGAGAGCAAGATGTTCAAAACCTTTATACTGTTCCAATGTTCTTGGAACTACGTTTGTCTCTTCCTAATTGTTTTAATGAAAATCTGACTTTGTTTCTTTCGGGTGTCTTCAGATACTTCATAAACAGATCCCTATATTCTGATCCTTTTCTGGCCCTCTGCATTTACTCTTGTCATTTATCTTTTTTTTTCTGTTTCATTGACAATATGACACTATTGATTTACAGTGCTAATTTTCAGTAATTTGATAATGATCAGTTTTAAACTTCTGATAAATAACTGATAGGTACCCGTGGTGGTTCCTCCTTGGCTGTCCCTCTTTTATTTCTGTCTGTCTTTCTTTTTCCCGGCTCCAGTTGACCGATGTTCTTTACTCGAAATATTTTACAATTTACAGTTTACATTCATTTGATGAGAAAGTACATTTAATTCTGCATGTAATGTGTAAAAGACACCTCATTCTGTAGGAAAAACTTTTTAAAATGAGGGCCGTTCTTGTGCATTCTACAAATTCTCGGTTTTTGCCCTCTTTCCTATCGAACATCTATTGTCGTAATCTCTCCTCCTTGTTTTTTGTTTGTTACTCTCTTTCAACACCTCTAATCTTCGACACTTATATGACCTAATTGTATTGCTAGTGCCGTAAAATCTTCCTTTTTAAACTAATACTTAAACCAGTAGCAAATTACTTACTTTTTTTCTCTAGATTATAAACTCAGAAGTTTATTGAATGATTGTGTTGCGTTGCTACACTTGAGTGATAATCATTAATGAATTCTGCCTCGTTTTCCTTTTCCTCAGGGTGTTAAACCCGTGGAACCCTTGCCCCCCACAGTTCCGCAGTCTCCAGCGTTTGCCCTCAAGAACCGAGTGAGAATACCCGTAGAAGTTCCTCAGGTGGTATGTACTCTTAAATTTCTAGAATGCGCGAATTGTAATTGTAAATCTTTTATGGCCCCGTCGACCTAGAATAATTCATTTAGGTATTTGAGATGGTTTTTCATGTTTAAAGCTGTATTCACACCATTTGATCATTTACGCTTTGGGCTGTTTTGACCCTGCCTGTCCAGGTCGAGCCAGGCTGAGTGGGATACAACCTCCCAGTAGACAGACAGGGGTACTCGATGAAACCTTCTCATGTGAGAAATGGACTTTCATCTCCGGCATACTAGGGCGAAGTATCTTACCATTACAAGAATTACACCACTGACACTGGTCCTGTATAGTCTAAATGTTGAAAGTTCTTGCTCCATTTATTATTTTTTGTTTCTGTACTTTTGCCGTGGTTCTACGTTTTCCTCAGTGTCTCTACTTTTATCATACTATTATTATTCGCAACATTATAATGTACTCAGAATCCCTCCGTATTTTTAGGGGTGTAGATTTTAGTCACGATTCCAACGGGTGATTGGAGCGTGTCTCTGTTAGATTGTATTTTATCCCATCTGGTATTTCTGTCTTGTCTGTGTTATTCTTTCCCTGCACGAAATGAGTTGTTTTGGGTGGGTGGTTGGGGGGTGCTCTAATGTGGTTTGCTCCTTCTTTCCTATCAAACATCTATGGTCCTTATCTCCCCTCCTTCTATTTTGTGTTTGTTACTCTCTTGTAGCGCCTCAATCTTCGGCACTTATTTGACCTTATTGTGTTGCAAGTGCTATAAAACACTTACTGAAACAAGTTGTTATGGATGTACTTAATGGCTGTCATTTAGAAAGTGATTGCGTCATTCTAAGCAAGGCATAGTTCACAAAAGATGACAGTTGGCATGTAGATGCACTTATAAATATTTGCTCAAACAGTTCCAATTCTTGTTTTGAAAGTGGTTTGTGGTTTGCCAAGTTATATCTCGTCACTGAGTTGTGCCAAAATTCTGTTTGCCTTTTATTTTGTTTAGTGGTAAAGTCAAAGCAAAAATACGCTGTCCCCCTTAGGCGGTGCTACTGACAGAAGTGTCTTTAGCCCCATTCCGAAAGGGGGACATTAACCTTGTTCTTATGCACATTAGAATGGTAGTTGTAAATGGGCTGATTCATCAATGTCATGCTCATAACTGTGGCTGAACTGCAACAGGAAACTTGCTGCTTTTTCTTTCCTAATCCTTACTATTGTAATTTTTCCTCTACTTCTTTTATATGTTTGTCACACTCTGGTGACCCACTATTTTCGGGGTGCCTTGATAGTCGAAGCAGACTTTGTGCTGTTGAAGCTGTAGAGGTGAGCAGAGTAAGTCTGATTCCCTCTAAGGACTTCTCTGTTAACATCCACCCCTTGACGCTCATATGACCGTATGCAGTTGCGAGCGCCGTAAAGTCTCTCCTAAAAAACAAAAACCAAGTTATATCTCGTCACTGCGCCAGCAGAATGGCATAACTCTTGTGCCAAAATGCAGCTAGCCTTTCATTTTGTTTAGTGGTAAACTCAAAACAAATGTGATGGCTGTCACAAAAGAAACATGCATGGTGAGTTTTACCATTATTAGATGATAAATAAATAGTCTAGTTAAATTATACAGCTTTTTCCATTTATCTCAAAAGTAGCAAAAATGAGATGTGCCATTTTGCTACCTCAGTGACAATCTTCTGGAAATGATTTATAATTCTGACGATGTGTTTTGTCTTTACTCAAAAAAGACAAAGTAATTCACATAGGGATATTTCTCACAGGAGGAGACAAAGGCCAATATGAAGGCAAACCCTGTCCCACACCCGGGCATTCCGTTCCGGCCTCGTCTAGAACACCACCATACAGTGCCGGAGCCATTCAGTGTGGAGGAGAGGAGCAAGCAGATGTTGACGCGAAGGGAGCTCAAAATACAGCAGGTCCTGGAAGAGGAGAGACGAGTGAGTCTATCAAAGCTCTTGTTTACATAAAATAATGTCTGATTGTAATTGTAAATATTTTACGTAATCTCCTATCTCCACATCAACTCATTCAAGCAAAACCTGAGATCTTCGTAGGGCAACTGGTCATCATCATGAAGTGCCAGATCTGAAACAGATATCGCTGTTCATAGTTCTCCACCTATTTCTCTCTAGCTGGTATGCTGTGAAGAGGTTATCTGCTGTGAACCTAATCTTCATGTAAAAGTCTGCTTTGCTTCTATTTACTCTCTCAACAAAGACCTCCACTCTGTTCTATCAGCTGTTCTCCTTGTCTAGGTTGTGCCAGTCCGCTGTCTGATATCATCTTGCAATCTTTCTTTCTGTTCTTCTTCTTGATAATTTTCCTGTTCTTAGTCTGCATTCAGTGCATCTTTTTATGCGTCTGTTATGTCACTCTACCAATGTGACCAGCCCATTTCCACTTTTGTTGGGAGTATTTTGAGCGTAAATCAGGTGATATCTGCCTCTCGCTCCTGTTTTCTCTCATATTTTTGTAAGCATTTTGATCTCGTATTCTTATACTCAGCATCTTTCTATCCATTGCTCTGTGTTGTTCAGCACTTCTTATCTTTCAAAGCAACCCAAAACTGCATGTCCCACGGGGCGGTGCCACTGACTGAAGTGTCTTTAGGCCATTCCCGAAGGGGCGAAATTAACCCTAACCGTTCTTATTTTTTCTAACCTAGCACTAAATGACCATTACTGTGTCAATGTGCTTCTCTTTGCTCAAACGATCAAACATCTAGTTACTGTGCTTTCCAATCACACATGAGTGCTCCGATGTTTATGTTGCAATGGTCATCTGTTGCTTTGTTTCCCAGGCCCGAGAGTTCCATGCCCAAGGCTTCCCCAATGACAAACCCGACACGCTACCCCCCAAGCAGGAGCGAGGCATAACCTTGATGGAGCCCTTCCAACTTTCTGCAGACCACAGGGGTCAGAGATACAAGGAGGAGTTCTTTGCAAAGGTTACTTGATATCCCTTTGTTGTAACATTTAGAATATACGGTCGAACCTGCCCTGACGGCCACCTCTATAAGACGGCCACCTGTACAAACGGACACTTTCCATTTCCCCCCTTGCGTTTTTTCTATATAATTTAACTGTGTAAAACGGGCACCTGTCCAACGCGGCCGTGGCCACCATATTTTAATACACAACCCCTATCACACTATTTCCGGGGGCCTTGATAGTCGATGCAGACTTTGTGCTGTTGAAGCTAGAGAGGTGAGCAGAGTGAGTCTGATTCCCTGTAAGGACTTTTCTGTTGACGTCCTCCCCTTGGCACTCATATAACCTTATGCAGTTGTGAGAGCTGTAAAACCTTGCGAAAACAAAAAAAACTCCAAATCTTCTGGGGTCTGGAGGCTTGATTTTTTCCCCCCAAGCTCTTATTTCTTAGGAGTTTGAAAGTTATTTTTGTTCATGGAGCGATTGGCTGGTCTGCAACAAACAAAAGCTGACTTGGAACTTTTTACCTCACTTGGGCCTCCTTCCCATGTATTTATGGGTCGTGTTATATCGGTCAATATCTTGTGTTTTTTTCGGGGTTTTTTAGGTACAAACTACAGGAAGCTGCATGCCAGCAGTTAGCACTTTGCCATCATCTTTTGGGGTAAATCCAAAGAAATTGGGAGGTACACATAGCTGATCGACGAGATGAGGCAGCAAAGTGTTAACCTACTTGTTTCATTTCGTTAAAAGTTTGTTATAGTTATACACTATACTTTTTACGCTGTTCCTAGTTGTTAGGTGAAAAATAGCTCAAGTTCAAGTGAGTTAAAGAGAAATAAGGTCTACTCTGTAAAATGTGAGAAAAATAATGAACTCTAAATAATGCATGTTGCTTGTGTTTGATTCTCGGCCATGCCTATGGTTTCTTTCTTTGCATGCCCGTGACCTCAAGCAGGTTGAAGAGGAGGAACGTCAAGCTAAGGAAGCTGCCCAATTCAAAGCCAGGCCTAACCATGTGATACACCAAGAGCCATTCCTGCCTCAAAGGTCCAAAAAGCCGCTTACAGGTGAGTGAGTCTTTCACACCAATATGATATGGTGGTTGTTGTATTTTTTTCTCCTTCTTTAACACTGAATGAACATAATATTCTCTACTTTCTATCATGAACAAATAGATTTATAAATCTGATAATTTTTGTCTTAACCCTATCCATACGCCCTGGGGTCATTTTGTTCCCCTGGGGTTATATTCTTCACATTTTAAGACATTTCTAGTGCGAAGATCTCTTTGAAACTTTCAGTATTTCTCAAAAAATCATTTTGACAGACTGCTATGCAAAGCGTACGGATCGGATTAACGAGTAAATTTCCTCTTTGGAAATTGGGGACACAGGGTTCCCCACGTCGAATGGACACGGCGTACAGATAGGGTTAATTATTCATTTTAATTTATGGATTGACCAAGTGTAGGTCCTGCTTGTCCTGTTTCTTTGTGTTTTTTCTGTTTGTCAGCTGTCCACTTTTCCCTGTACCAAATGGCTCTTTTGTGGATGTGCTGCTCTTTACTATTTTGGGAATTGTAAGGAGTCCTCGATTTTTCTCTTTTGATGTTACTTGTATTGGCTTGAATAGGGGGAGGGCTACTGGAAGGTCCTGCTTCTGTTCTTTCCCTGTATTGTAGTTGTTTGTCTGCCTTAATTTTTCGCAGCATTAAACTACTATTATTGTGTTGTTCTTTTCGTAACGCTAACATAGGTTTGAATATTTTGTTCGTCGACAGAAGTCAGTGACTTTGCTCTCAACACGGACATCCGGGCCAGCCAGAGAGAAGCCTTTGACCAGCAGATAAAAGCGCGGGAGGCAGAACTGGAGGGCTTGAAGAGACAAAGAGAAGAACGTATTGAGAGAGAAGAAATGGAGGCCATGGCCAAAATGCGACAGGCTGCGGTCCACAAGGCCTCAGGAATCAAAAAGTAATTTTTTTCTCGGATTTATGTGCCTTAAAAAAAAATGAATTGCTTTGGTCAGCTAAGCTTTCTCTCAGTTGTTTCTGTCAGTCTTCCTTTTTCAAGGTTCTCCACAAACCTTTCAAAGGTTTTTCTTTTTTCTTTCTTTTCTTTTTTTAAAAAATTGTGTTTTTTGTTATTTGAGGGTTGCGCCTCTTAGTTTAAAAAAAAAAAAAGAGATATATATATAGACTCATACAAGTGGGTGTTGGAGAGCACCTTTGCCTGGTCCTGCTTTTTGTCTTCCAGAACGAAATGACGGATGTTGTGTTGATGTGCTTATCTTTACTCTTTAAACTTAAAGTAGGCCTACCTGTCATTCGGGTGTATCTTTAGCTCAACTGGTATCACACTGGGCTGTGGAACAAGAGAACTTGGGTAGCCAGAAAAATTTCAAAGACTCGCCGTCTATTTGGCTCAGTTTTGCTGAAAGTGGAAGTTGAATCAGAGGTCTTGTTTCTTTACTAACTTCAAGGAGTGTCAAGCCCATACAAGCGGGGGGAGATGCTGCTGCGCCACCTTTGGAGGTCCTTCATTTCTTTACCTCTGATGATTGTGTCTGTCTGTCTTGCTTTTTCCCAGCACTAAATAATTGCTATGTATTGATGTGCCTCTCTTTGTTCAAACAAAACTATCGGAGGTGGATGTCAATTTGGAAGTCACACCTCTTACATAACTTAAGTATCAAACCCACACAAATGGGCTCATTTTCTTTTCTTTCCGGGGGGCTCTCGTGGCCTAGAGGTTAAGGTGTTGGCCTCTCATTCGAAGGTCCCAGGTTCGAATCCGGGTAGCGACCGAAAAATTTTCTTCTCTAAAATTGTCTCCTTTCACCTCCTTTCCTGCTCTCTAGCAATGTTCTGTTGTCTGCTTTCATTTCCACTTTCTGCCCCCACCCCCTCACCTCCTTTGCCCCCTCCTCTGGGCTCCTGACTCTTTCTGCAGCCTTTCTACTGCTACTCCTTGGCTCCTCCTTACTGCTGTCTTTCTACCACTCCCCTGATCTTCTGGTAGGAAAGATCTACACCTAGCCTTCTCGGAAAAGGGCGAAAAATCTCGGAGGGCCCGTGTGCAAGTTGCGCATGTTTAAAGATCCCTTGGTGGTCTAAGAGTAGGCTTTGGCCGCCACCCGGGCAAAATTCAAAATTTCCTACCAACTGAAAATTTTAGGTGTGTCCCGCGCGCTCATATGACCTATGCAGTTGCGAGCGCCGTAAAACACTTTACAAAAACATAACTTTTCTTTCCTTGATGGTTTAATTTTTTTTTAAAGGATTGATGCCCATTGATCAATTGAATGGTCATTTCAGATCAGTCAGGGTGGGTAAGAGCACTCCTTATGCACACTTTATCAGCTGACCTCTGCTTTGCTGCTTCAAATTTGGCCTTGAAGTCCATTGGGACCTATTGTATTCTGCGACAAACACTCAAAAAAGAAAGAACATTTTTTAAATGATGTAACCTCTAAACCCTGATTTAACTAACCCCTGTAGTGAGTGGAAGCATTGTTTGCTGCGATTTTGACAAACCAGACCTGATCCTGATCCAAAGAATCAAGCGTGCTTGATTTTAGAGGATTTGATCAAAAAGTGTCAAAATGGTAGCTTGTGCCCCTCCGTGAAGGAAAATCTGGCCACCTCGGCTGTATTTTATCAAACCATATCAAATTACTCAAGTAAGGATTTGGTAAGGGTAAGATATTCTGCAGCATGCACTGGGCTTTGATAAATTTCAAGGTGTGAGAAGGCATTGAACCCGCTCAATAATCAATAACCCATTTTATTTCTGTGGCCACAGGTACAAGTCGGTGATTGTCAAGCCCAGCGAGAAGCCCTTGACCGCGGCTCAGTCTCCGTGCTTCTCACAGCGTGTCAGGACCAGGCATAATGTCAGTGACCTCTGATGACCTTTGACCAGATGTGCACTGGCTGTTTTTTGGGTTTTTTTGGAGGGGGGCGAATTTTGTGTTTGTATGATAATAATGATAATGATTGTGTACTTTGTTGGGGGGGGGGTTTTTGGGGGGGGGGGGGGGGGGGGTTGGCACTGCTGTTCCAGGATGATTAGTGTCTGTGGTGTAAAAGTTACGGTCTTTGCCATGGCTAGTTGTAGAAGACCTGAATTTGATTTTCCTTGAGGGAGGAGCAGTTTTTCTTTTAATAAAATATCTCAGTCTACCCTCTGGGACCTTGTCTCCCCTCTCAGCTCGGATTGGCCCGGCATGGCAGAGTCAAAGCCACTGGCTCACTGAATGATGTGAAAGGTATTGATGGGGATGAAAAACGTTTACAATTTTGTGTTCATATTCTAGATTATGAGTCAGATCATTAGCTTGGGAGTCCCAATTCAAATGTATTTCATGTCGGACCAACAACCTGTGTGTTCTTTTTTAATCACTGTCTTTGTTGTGAATTGCAAACTCTTACAATACAGTACATGAAAATGCACAGCCACCTGCACAATTTCCTACATTGGTTTCTTTTTCCGCTTATGTTTGACCTAGGTATTTCGATAATACATGTGTCACGATATGGTGGAATCTGGCGCTCTTCAATTTTTGTGCATATGGGGTTATTGGTATACTCCTAGCTGGTTCATTTGTATTGCTTTTTATGAAAAAATACCCATCTAACTTGAATAGAGGTCTAGAATATTTGTGATCGAAGGTGGGGATTGTCTGGTGTCAAAGTATAAAAATTAGCAAGAAAATGACTGCCAAAGTTTTGGTATCTTCCGAAGCTTGAGTGTCCTGGAAAACTGCAATTTTACATATTTTGTGTCTTTGGTCAATGTTATTCTGCAAAATACACACTGAAATGTGGTTTTAAATGGATATGATAAAAAGCCTTCCCCCAAATTGATAGAAATTGTCCAAAGGTGAAAAAAAAAAGTGGGTTTCTTTGATTTCATTATTTTGACAAGAGCATGATTTCACCACAGTGCCACACATATATATATGTTTTTGTATTGCATTAACATTGTATGATATTGTGTATATATATATTAAAAATATATCTTGCAGATTTGTAACAACAGAATTTGTACACAGTGGCTATTTGAGTCTCTTTCTCTTCCCTCTCTTTCTTTCTTTCTGCTCTCTCTCTTACCCTTTCCTATCTTCTTTCCCCTTCTCCCAGTTTTTCTGCTGCTTTCACCCATATGTTTCATTGTGCACTCATGCTTCCTTTCTGCAAGCGTAACGTTCAATGTTCCTTTTGTCTGAAGATACAGTGACAACTTGTAAATTATGTGTTGTGTAAACTGAGACAGAATTGAAGCATTGATTTTTCTTTTATTGTATTAAGTTGTATTGTTCAGAATAGCATCACTCAACCACTTTTTGTGCCTTAGCCCTATCCGTACGTCGTGTTTTACTATCGTATCCATACGATGTGGGGAAGGCTGTGCCCCCACTTTCCAATGAGGAAATTAACTTGTTAATCCGATCCGTACGCTTTGCATGGCAGTCTGTAAATTTGATTTTTTGAGAAATACTGAAAGTTTCTAAGAGAGCTTCGCATTAGGAGTATTCTAAAATGTGAAGAATACAACCCCAGGGCGGACGAATAGGATTAATCACTTTTATAAGTGCCTTGAACTGATTAAATTATGATTGGCATATTTATTGATCATTGCAAGAAATTTTATCCTGATTCTTGAAACTTTGAAATGTGCCTTTTCAGGCATTCCCTGTTTTTAAATGTTGAAATTCTTGGGCTACTGAACAAACCCACACTTACAGGAAATTAAAAAATGAAAATGAGTTAGCAAAAAGTTCCTGATACCGGTAACTGAATTCTGTTCATATTAATGAATCGATTGCAATGTCATCAGCAAAGTACTTTCAAGTGCCTGAATAAAGACTAGTTTTAAACTCAGAACCAGCTCTGCATTTATGACTTGTTTTTAACTTGCATCTTCTCAGGTCTTCTGTGCAATGGTTATCACTGCCTCATTGAACTGTGTTGATGGAGTTGCACAAATGTACTTAATTCAGCAGTCATGACTCAGTTTCTCAGGAACTTTGTTGAGTTTACTTTCAGACTGTGAAAAGCCTTGAAAAAGCATGTTTTTTCCTAAATATGAAATGATAATTGATGAGAGGTTTGTTCAACATTGTACATATGTGGCATATCAGATTTGTTATTATTTGAATGACTCTTTATACCCCTTGTTGTGGTTGGTTAATGTGTGCTGCTGATTAGTCCTATCCTTTTTTCCCCCTTCATCTTCTATTGGTTCTACCGGTCCTTACTTTTCCCCAGCTTTAAATTACCGTTGTTGTGTTAAAGGTGGCACCGATTGCAGGCTCTACTTCTGTCCATTCCCTGTTATTTCTGGTTATCTTTCTTTTTCCTTGCACTTGGTGACCATTACTGTGATGTGCAAATGGATGGGTGATGGGTGCTCAGGTGTGGTCTTCTCCTGTCTCATCAACACCTCTATTTGTACTTTTTATATCTCCTTCCTCCCTCCCTCTTTTCCATATTACTCTTTGGTAACACCTAATCTTTGCTACATGCTGTAAAACTCATACTACAACAATGTGTACATCTTCCAACTCGAACAAACCAGTATGTATTGAGTAACTCCATTATTGATTATTGCTGTACTGGTGTGCTTTTCTCAAATTTGCATCTTTCGTGGATGATTTTTTTGCAGCTGGAAGAATTTTTCATACTCGATGCAAAATTAAGAACGGTGGATGATGAATAAAACTATTTCTAGTAAATTTTGCTCTCTATTTTAAGTTGCTTTTTTGTCCGTTACTATCAATATCATGTGAGCCCAATGGTTTTCATTGGAAGGCTCCACTGTTGCTAAGTTAGGTCCTAAGATCCGGGGTATGACTGAAAGACAGGAGGGGGCTGGGGGAGCAGAAAGTGGGGGCGAAAGCAAATGACAGAACATGGTTAGAACTTACAGAGCAGGATAAAATGGTGAATGGAGAGAATTTTAGAGAAGAAAATTTTCTCGTCACTCAGGTTTTGAATCCAGGAGCTACTGAATGAGAGGCAAACGCTCTAACCTCTAGGCCAAACACAAGGGCCCACATTTGATACCTGTAAGAATTATGCAGTGAAACTCGCTTATAAAGAAGTCTATGGGCACAACCTTACAGTACAGTTAATTGAATCTTGAGTGGTTGTTATAAGACAGATGTGAGGATTGTTGATCTGAAAGGGACATCTGGTATGAATGTGTCACGACATTAAAAAAGGAAAGTTTGGAAATAAAAAATACACTGGTGCCCCCTGGTGCTTTTTCTTGACATATAATCAATTGGGTCAGGTTTGGTTTCAAACAGTATGCATGATAATGTACATGTAGTTCGGTTTGAATTAAGAAGGCATTCTCTTTTCTTTGATTTTAAAATGTGCTTGGCTAACATTGAAAAAATTATTGAACTGGCGATGCAAAATACACTTGGTTGCGGTGTAGGGCCTGGACCTAAGCCAGCTAGGCTTAGTGTATGGCAGTGTGTGGATCCACAGACTTGTGCGCAACTCATTATGCAGATCATCTAGGTACACAGTTTGAATTTTGTTTGAGTAAAGAGAAGCATATCGACACCATAACTCATAGTCTATTATATAATATAGGGCAAGGAAGAAGCAAGACAGAGACAAAAACAACAGAATGGAAGGGGAAAAAAAGGACCTCCAGCCACCCTCCCGCTCACAGTTCTAAAAAAGTAGGCTGTAACGATTGTAACATCTCTGCATCACTGCCAGCATTCCTTGCCACTAACGCACCTCCACCCACTCCGACAGATGGTCACAGTGGGTGGTTGGCGGGTCCTCTGATGTGGTTTGCTTCTTCTTTCCTGTCAAACATCTAGCGTCCTTATTTCCACTTCTTTTTTATGTTTGTTGCTCTCTTGTAACACCTCTAATCTTCTGGCTCTCATATGACCTTATGAAGTTGCAAGCGCCGTAGAACCTCTACTAAAACTAAAACTAAAAAGATGTGCACTCAGCCACATGTGTGCTGGCATCTCTCAACCATCGTGTGCGTGTCATTTGTCAACAGCGCATGTGTTGGTGAAGATTGTGATTGGTTGGCATGTTTCACATCGCACCCTACAATAGACCCATCAATGACACAAGCCATTGAGACTAGAGTAAGTGTATGGGTTTGATGCCCGTATCAACACTATTTTAGTAATACAGTCGACTACGGATGAGTTGATGTCTGGGGAGGGAAAAAGATCAATTCATCCGAAGTTCAACTTAATCTGCAAAGAGGAGGTGCTGGGACCTGAGAAAAAGATCAAATTTAATTAAGCATATTCAACACAAGCGTAGTAAACTTTTTTGGTTACTTTAGAGACAGGACCTCTGCCTTTAATGTCCATCTCCGATAGGACTGAGCCAAATATGCTGTTAACCTTGGAAACTCCACTAAACGATCCGAATGCCCAGTCTGGGATTCGAACCAAGACCACCTGCTCCTTTGCTCAGCATGATACCAACTGAACAGACGGAGCATTGGTGTGGGTGGTTGACGGGTGCTCTGGTGTGGTCCAGGTTTGCTCCTTCTTTCCTATCAAAAATCTATCGTCCTTATCTCTCCTTTTTAGTTTTTAAAAATGTTTGTTACTCTCTTGTAACACCTCTAATCTACTGGCGCTCATGTGACCTTATGCAGTTGCGAGCGCCGTAAAACCTATAGGCCTACTAAAACTGAACTGACGGTGCATCGGTGCATGTGTGATATGGCCTATATAACTTGAATAAATAAGTGTGTAATGATTCACCAAGCAGGGTGATTGACGCCTGACGGTCCAATAGAATCTGAGGAGATAAAGGTTTGTTGGGGGGGGGGGGGGGGGGGGGGATGCCCAAAGCACCGCCCGAAAACTTGCTTGTTATATTCGAGGTATTTTGTTAATTTTAATGAATGATAAAAATGAAAATCCAAGGGAATTTTTCTTTTTCCGTTGAATCTGAGTTCATTGTACACATGTGTTACGTATTCAAGTTTCACG